GGATTATCATGAGACTTTGCACACATATCCTTAAGGCCCATTTACACGATGCCATTTTCTTGTACATGCAAGAGCAATAATTGCATGCAATAAATTGCGCGCAATAATTGGTTAGACCATTTGTTGTTTAGACCATGCAACTTATTTATTGCTTCAATTTAATTGTATACAACACGCAAGAAACTGGCACCGTGTAAATGGGCCTTTAGAGGTATTATAAAGGACATAGGATTATTTTTATCTACATTTTCATGTGAAATCCACCTATACACGGTGGGGTCGCATGCTGTTCTATACCTCTGTACCCTCTGTGCAATGGATGCCTTTTCCCAGCAGTGGGACATATAATTTAGTAAAAAAAAGTAAAAATGAAGTTCGCAATTGACATCGTTCCATTTTATGCATAATGTTTAGAATTTACCATATCGTTATGTTTAATTTTAGGTACAGGTACACTAGTCTCCAGTCAGACATTACAGATGTCCATGGACAGCAGTAACGTTAAAAAAGATTGAGATATTAACACCATAAACTGTAGACAATACTTTTAGGTACAATACGATTGGTCTATGACGATTTGACGGAGCCACGTAACAGCCTTCACAGTTTCACAAATGGGCAGGTCCGTTCGGGTAAGTACCACGATCTTATAGAACACCGGCGTAAAGTGGACGTGTTACCCTTCTGTTCCGTCTGGTGAGTGAGGTAACCGGGGCCCACTTTATTAAAGGACAAGGCATCTAATACCCTACGTGTGTTGCAAACAGCACCTCAGGCAGCTCGCTTGTCACCTTTAACTTTCTCACATGAAAAAAGCAGAGCCATTTGGACTTCAGTTATCCCAGCCCGTCCCGTTACCAAGAATGTTTTAAAGTGGAGCAGAAAATATCCTTACTAATATTATAAGCGCGAAAGTTTGTATGTGTGGATGGATGTTTGTTACTCTTTCACGCAAATACTACTGAATGGATTCTACTCAAACTTTACAATAATATAGCTTATACATCAGAATAAGATATAGATATTAATTTATATACATATTTTTATGTATATCTGTCTTTCTGACTGAATGTTACGCCTTCAGCCTATTCTACGCAGAAGTAGTCGCGGGCAGCAGCTAGTAAGAAATAATCATGAACAAGCATTTCTTTGACCTATAGATAATTGTTCTGGAAGTGAACTATTATGCATAATTTAATTTGTGTTTATAAACGCCCTCTATGGCTCACGATAATCATATTACAGTGTAGGGATGCCGAAAAAATATCGATATATCGATATTTTTTATTAAATGTATCATTAAATGTATAAAATATTCAATATTGAAATCGTATCAAAAGCGATATTTTTTTCAAACTCCAATCCGGGACAGAGTCAGTACATGCAAATGCTTGCCATGTTTTCTTTTGGGCAATAGGGCCTAAAAAGAAAATATCTATACATCGATATATTCCTCACTTTTGGCACCTCTAAGACAGTGAGGGTTAATATTTTATAATGATTCAATAAGTAATCGGCTTACAGAATTATTCACGCGTTTGTTAGTTACGGTTTATGGTAAATAATAATAAACATCGTACTTTAAAAGTCACAGAGCAACTTGTTTATTATTGTAAAATGCATCTTAAACGTACGGAACAAGAGTTAAAACGTTTACATCTATTACGACTGACTAATACGTCAGTCCACAAATGTGACTGTACGATTTTAATCCATTATTCGGAAAACCATTTAAATTTGCAACAATGAGTCGTCTGTACTCTTTAAACGGTGCCTTTTCAAGCCTTTTGTTTCATTGAAACCTCGTGAAAGCTTTCCGTTTGAAAGTTTTTCGCATCGCAATATTGTACTTTTTAGCGTTTTTCTTAATATAGCTGCGTTTTTTAATGTGACAAAGTGACACACGAGCTGGCGGTTCACCTGTATTAAGTGAAAACCGACGCCTATGGACATTTGCAACACCCGTAGTGTTGCGGATGCGTTGCCACCTTTTACTAAAGTGGCTTTAGTAAAAGTGGGCGCCCCACTTTAGTAAATCAGCCGAAACAGAAGCAACACTTCCACTTCAGGCCGGTCTTCTGCGAGGTACTTCTTCGGACAGACTGTCCAGTCCTCTCGTGCAACAGCGAAGATTATTGCGTAGCCCTACCAAAGGTCAATATCATTATATTCTATAGAATATAAAGAAACGAGTTGTCCCTTGACGATAACATTATCACGAATGTTCGCACCACGTGTTGCAGTTTAAATATTTCGAATGTCCGACTTTGCTATGATTTAGTCGTGTGATGCCCGTGTAATATTCCACTTGCGATGATGCTTTAGTCAAATTATGCCTCCGCAGGCATTACGAACTCTCTTCGACCCGAGGTAAGGTACGCTGAAATACGAAACGCAGAACGACTAAGCCACAGTTTCCCATCCCGTCCATCACTACTAGGCGAAAACCCGTTCGAACTCAACCACAAACCGCTGGCCTTTTCCAGGTCAAGCTGTGAGAAACTACATTTCGTTCATAATTTTACACATCTACTTGCATATACAAGTGTTGTTTACTAACATAAGCAGTGGTCAGGGCTTGCAATTGTTTGGTTTTCGTTTTTAGCCGACTTCAAAAAAGGGGGAGTTTCGACTGAGTGAGCCGATTTTGATGTTTTTTTTTTAAACTGGTGTTTCCCATGGGACCACCATATTAATTCCATTTGTATTGGATTTTGGGCTCCGGAGATACTTACTCTCCTCCTCCGAGGGAACTCCTGAAAATCAATTGTAAAATGAATACAGAGCGTGATTTGACGTCGGTTTTGTTTTTCGTTAATAAAAAAATGAACGCGTCGCCTAACAGTTCGGCGACGCGTTCACCAATCAACGTTTAGTTGTATGAATATAGAAACGTTTAGTTTCTGTCTGTTCTCTCCATGAAACTAATTATGCTTATGATACTTTTTATTTTTTATTTAAATATAAATATATTTACGACACATTTTTACACAACGTTCTCTAGTCCCAAACTAAGCAACGGTTGTACTATGGGTACAAGATAACCGATAAACATACTTCTTTTTTGCAAATAATACATGATGTACTATATAAACACCCAGACACTAAAAAAACACTATGTTCATCGCATAATATTTTTCCAGTTGTGGGGATCGAACCCACACTGTCTGGCGCAGGAGGCAAACTTCAAAAATTTCCTCGTGAACCGTTCGCTTTAGCAACAGCGTCGAACCCGCGTCCGGGATATAACGGACACAGAGCCCGCACATCAACAATGCTTTGCGCTGCGTCAACAATCATGGGCTATTTCGCAAGCGAGCGAAAAATTATTATCGCGCGGCGGACGAACGCGAAAATCGCATTGACTCACATAATGCGCCGTGCTTATAGTCCAATATCACGTACCGCGGTAATGATAACAGTTTGATTCACGCTCGCGGTGGTAGGAAAATGAGCCAATTCGCATCGTCGAGGATAACTCTAGAAGCCGGCCTTTGAAGGTTAATGGGCAAAGAGTTTTTAATTTTCGTTGAACAGACAGGCCGCATTCATAGTTAGTGTGCCAATTATGTTTAATTTACTGAAAATCAATCGTATTTATGGTAAAGTTTAAATTATTTTATTTAGTTGATGCTTTCAACTTGGTTAATAAATTGCTTAACTGGACCGTAAAGTGGAAAAATTGACTTATACAGTATAATTATTTTCATTTATAATTTTATTATTACTTTCTTTTTATTTTATTATTTTTTATGTGAAAAGTTGCCAAACGAGCAGACGGTTCACCTGATGTTAAGTGAATACCGCCGCCCATGGACATCTGCTACACTCGGGGGTTCCAGATGTGTTGACAACCTTTTGGAAATTGGCCTCCGGCCACCTCACTCACCCGACGAAACGCGAAAGTATTATACTTCCACTTTACGCCGGTCTTCTGTGAGGTCGTCGTACTTACCCGGACGAGCCTGCCCATTCGTGCAACAGCCGAGGCTGCTGCGTGGCCCTACCACCGTTAAACTTTCTTTTTATGTTACGGCTTAGTTAAATTTGAATTTTGTATTGCATTCTTTTAGTGTAGTATGTATCACTATAATATTTTCTTTCTTTCCCTATTAATTTATGATAATATTTCTTCCCTAGATTAATATAAATCCCCCAATAAACATAAATGCCTAAAACAATGAGGGTAAAATATGTGAAGTGTTCATTGCTTCCGTCCAAGTTGAGTCATAAAATATTCCTAGTGTCTGAATTGTATCTTTATATCAGACAACTGTGTAGGCAAATTGAAAGTAAACATTTATGAAGACTTTCTCGTCTCCTTTCTTGGTTAGAAATAAGGAGTCTTTCACTCTTCGGAATCGATCTCTACTCATTAATCTTTAGTGTCATTGATGGGCACTTATTGTAAACGGACAGTTTAATTGAAACTAATTTCGATAATTTCTAATTTCAGAATTATACAAGTATCAACAGAATAGAAATATCAAACTGAATCGCAGTAGTTAGGAGATATTAAAAAGAACTTAGTAATCTAGTGCTGGAATCTTACTACAAGAGTGTTACTTACTATAAGAGATACAATCTATAAATAGAGATATCAGACAACTGTGTAGTAAATTAAACTGGATCTCAGAAGTTAGCAGATATAAAAAAGAACATAGTGATCTAGTGTATCTTTCGAGCAATGAGGTTTCCATTTTTCAGATATCTGATAAAAAATAAATATCTTGATGTTGTAGCAAATTCAGATTTTTGCAACCAAAAAAACTATTATTATTATATAATATTTGCCTCTCGGAGGCACATCACATTATGCCCAACACGCATCTAAAGACGCATCTACGTTTCACATCGAGCAGCGTCGTCAGCGCCGGTCAGCGCTATTTCCCCTCACCCCCCACCACTCGTATATAGCCTCCGACTCCCGCGCCGCCGGCAGTTTTCATCGGGAAGCCGACTAAAGCGCACGTCAACAAAGAAACGCGACAATAAACAGGATGCTCTCCCCGCGAGTTCTATCGGCTCTCGCCTTGCTGGCCGCCGTGGCCGCCCTCCCGGTCTCCGACAAGCCCGCCCACCCCCAGCCCATCACAACCGTCAACGACGACGAAGTGGACGACTTCTCTTCGTGGTTCCGCGGCCCCTGGGACAGCCTCTTCAGCTCCGTGTGGAAGCTGATACCGAGCTTCGCGGACATCGGGCCGCGCATCGTGGCGAAGGACGACCTGTTCCAGGTGATCGTGAACGTGAAGAAGTACAAGGCGTCCGACCTCACGGTGAAGGTGAAGGGTGACTTCGTCTTCGTGCAGGGCTCGCACGAGGCGAAGCACGAGGAGAGCGACGTGTTCGCCAGCCAGTTCTTCCACACGTACTCGCTGCCGGCGAACTTCAGCGCGGCCGAGGTCACGGCGAAGCTCTACAGTGACGGCTACCTGGTGGTGAGCGCGCCGCTGAAGGGGGCTGACGAGAAACCAGCAGACAGGGAGGTGCCCATCACCGAGACCGGAACAGCGTACGGCGACAGCGCGGACGCCGATAAGCCCGAGCTCACCACAGTCCTGCCGACTGAAGACGACAAGAAGGAACCGACAACCCCGTCCGAGCGAGAGGATGTAACCGAAAAGGACAACGTCATCCCCCACGGCGCCGAAGCCCAGCCCTAAAGTGATATATCAGCTGTAAGAGTGTATTTATAAATCGATTATTTTTAATAAATACTTTTTTTTAATTAGACACCCGTGTTTTGTCTGGCGTACGGCGTTACGTGACCAGCGTTGTTGATGGCAAATGAATACAAATGCGTGGCCCATTCCGGGTGACGGAACAATGGATTATGTCAGGTCGAGCCGTAAGATTTCCGATTGTTCCAACGTTAACAATGGGCATTGAAGCGAGCGCAAGTGCCATATGCGTTCATCTATTTCTCGTCTGGTCTGCGGCGTCACCAGCGTGATTCTTCGCGGAGTAGAACAATAGTCCACAGGATGAAATCAGCTTATAAACAAACTGGCCAAAAACCCCAGGCTATATTATATTTCATTTCTGCGTAAAGAAGGAAAACCCTCATTAAAGGTTTCCGTTATAAAGTTAACGTTAAGTTAGTATGTTTATTTTTAAATAGTTGCAAGAATTGCAAAGTAAAGAACATAGAATACATAACAGCAATCTGATCTATATATAGCAATTTAATCTTTAGAATTTTTAAATAAATTAGGAGATTGTTAAATTATTCATTAGTCGCTTTCTTCATAAACGTATTGTTATTGTGGAAGGTCATGTGCGATTAAGGAACATGAAGTTATTGTAAACGACGGTGCTTGCTTGTACTTGTTTAAATGAAACTATTTTACTGATTTTATCGCGTTTCAATTTAATTTCAATTTCCGACGTTCCGAACCCTTTGCAGCGTTCATGGTCACGGGACAGACTGTACTTGTTAACCTTCCGGTCGTCACATTCCAAATAACACTTGAAATTTTACTAAAATTAATGTCGAAATGTTTTTACGAATGCTCGTTTTATTTTAGTCATGAGCATGCTCAATATTTACCGAAGCGCAGCCTACCCACCGTACCGATTTGAAATCACGTATTCTTTCTTCACATTTCTACATGAGTTGCACAAGAAGAGTAAATATAGCGTTCACTCATACTAGCACATACATAAGTCTATTAACGTTTTTAATTTCAATTCAGTGCTTGATTAGTTATTTGAATCCTAATACACTCTGGAAATGAATTGGTGTTCCAGGCTCTTTCAAGTGGAGTTTAATATATTGTACACAATCATGTTTGTTATTTTTTTTTCACATTATGTTAAAAAATATGTACCGCTGTGTTTCTTTCACTGGTTTTTATTAGGCTTTTTTCCAAACCGTGTTTTTTTGACAATCAATAATTTTGTATAACGCTTCCATATTGAATAAAGATATTTGAGTTTGAAGTGCAAGTCTCTGAACTTAATATGCTACTTAAAAATTTGTAGATAAGACTATCGCTTTTTTTTTCTTACAATTACATTAAAAACAAAACTAGATAAGACGTCGATTTTCGAATGTCGACGCTTAACTTAGTGGCTAGAGCGTCTGGACGCGAAATTAATAAGTTCCGGGTTAAAATCCTGGTAGCAGTGGAAAATGTTGAGGCAGTTTCGTTTACAATTTTTGAACTATAATCAATTGTTATATTATTTAGGCTAAATAAAACAAACAGTATTGTTACCATATTAAAATAAATGTATTCATCAAGTCTCCATATCCAGGTCCTATAATTCTCTCGGTCTTACCCCATGGAAGAATATTTTTGTGTACATTTACGGATATTGAATTAAAAGTAAAGCAACATTAGTTAGCTTAAACATTATCGACTATTGGGCATAGTCCACTACGCAGCCCCACTGCAGATTGACCGACTTCACATATGTTAGAAATATATGCATTCCATTATTGGAACGAAGTTCCTTACGGCAGGCTTGGAGGGGATAGGGATTTTGCTGCGCGACCGAACTGAAAAAAATGTGATAGTGAAACCGTAAGAAAAAATCCGTGGAAAAAAGTGCGTGGAATAAAACCGTTAAATGAGACGTGCGCAGGCGCGACAGTCGCATACACAAGCGAGTAGTGTATAATTTTGTTATTTTAGTTGATAATTTGAATTACGATGTTTTTTTATTTTAAGTAATTTATTATTTCCTAAAATACTGAATTTCCTAAATACTTTCTTGTACTTAAATAAAAACTAATCAGCAAAATTTAAGAGAAAAATCAAGAAAACCTACATAAAATTGAGCACGAAGGAACTTCGTTCCTACCTGGTGTCCCACGACACCATTTGATTTTTCTTTATTATTTCGAAAATATGCAGTTTTCCTCACGATGTTTCCCTTCACCACCGAGCGCGTCATAAGATTATTAATAATTAAAATAAATGCTATTTAACTGTCGTATATCTAAAGAAACGAAAAACTGCATGTCATTGCTTAGTAAACAATAACGATTATTGCGGTATTGTTTTTGTAAGAGAATGAACTGCAGCGTAAGTAGAAATACAGACATGTGCACCATTATTATCCATATATCCATATATCGCTGGCGTCGTGATTTTACATGATTAAAATAGTACGAGATCCGGCTAGTGCGAACTTAGACTAAAAGCATCACAATGGATGTTGAACAAACGTAAGAACACATTATTTTGCTATACTCGTAGATAATGGTGGAATGTCGTAGGGAAATAGTGTTTTTTATGCAAGTAACCGGCAAGCGAGCTGACGGTTCACCTGATCTTAAGTGATAACCGCCGCCCATGGGAATTTGCAACACCCGTGGGGTTACAAATTGTTTGCCACCTTCCAATAAAGTGGGCCACGAATACCTCACCAGATGAAACGCACAATTGTAACATTTCACGTCGGTCTTCTGTGAGGTCGCAGTCCCCTGATAGACCTGAAATTGACTTCTTTTTTATCACTAGTTTTACCAGCTTGTTTGTGATTACTATCCCGACAGATTAGTGGTGATATTCGAGCTACCGGAGTTGAAATACGAAACAAATGAAATTGTTATTGTCCACTGCACGGAGAAGCTTTTACCAGCGGTGTGGCATAATGTGGCAAACACGTGCTTTGGTTGAGTTGTTGTGGTAAGATTTAGTAGACTTTAACTTGGTGCATTTAGCACTAAGTAAGGTCTACTTGAAGACGCCCTTCGAGATTCGAGCCAAATGGAAAGTCAAACTTGAGCGATTTGTTGCACTCCTCCGCTCTATATGGTGAACCTCTTAGTTTAATACAAAAGCAAAAATTTTGCTGCTTTAAGCGATAACATATTTATGAGCATTTCTAGGTACTTGGGATATATCTACACTATATAGTAATAAACCACAACAATGCACCTCGTGAAATAATAAGGTTTCATTAATTTCATTGTCATTTAGTAATTAACGCAGAAAGATGTATTTCAACAATATATTACAAAACATTTGTGTAATTATATGAAATGCAGTAGGATATAACCAAGCTACTGTTTAACAAAAGGTGTACAAAGATCACTTCGATCTAAAAATACCTTTTCAATGTGTGAAACATCCAAACAGAGTGTGTATAACAAAACTAATTATTATTCTCGAAAGAACGTTTACCGAATTCAAAGTGTGTCATCAATGCTAAGCACATAAACGAATGTTTAGTTTGGTGATGTTAATTCAGAAGATTTATATTCAAATCAAGACTATGGAATACACCGTTCCAATCAACTTTTAACGACTTCTGTATTTCATTGTACTAGTGATCGCCCAGTTGTCGAAATTCGAACTTAATTAAAGTGTGTAATGTATTTTTTATTGATTTAATGTATTTTTATGTGTAATTAAACAAAATTAGCAGTCTGCACTCCACTATATAAACTTGGAAAGTGAAGTGTTGGAAATTTCATACTCCTCCGTCCGCGCAATTTTCGAATAAAGGGGTACAAAGTTTTTGCCTCACGTATTAAAATATAGATATATCTGTCTCAAAGTAGGAGTGATGCATCCAAGCATCCATCCATTCAACCATCCATCTACGTATATAGTGATATAAGTTATAAATGGAAATATCTTTTTTCGTTTCATCTGATGGTTTAAGGATATCCACATCATCCGTATGGTTGCTGCGGTCTTCCTAAACTTTAAGTACTTGGCTCTTTTATCTAATTGACAAGAAGAAATGCAAAAACATTGACGAAAAAAAATTGCTTTACTTAATAAATGCTTTTCTTTAAGGCCGCATTCTAATCCAAACGAGTTGGACCCTTCATGTAACTGAAAATGGGTAGCTCTACCAAGTAAAAATATTGTCACATGAAATTAATATAACGGCCGCCTGAGTACACTCGAGCCCCTGTGTTCAAATCCCAGTGGCGGCAGCGATGAAATTGCTAACTACAATTTTAAATGCACACTTGTCAAGAACTCAGCTGTGCAGGAAAACATGGTGAGGTCATCTGCATATTTTAAAAATTATAACAAAAAATCGTATGCGAAGGCTGATAATTTACTTTTAATTTTACAAAGTAAACACAATCATGATCCAAGGTATTTTAAAAACGATCAATATTGTTGAAAGCCATCGGAGCCATGGTCAGGACCGCACGTCAATGACCCACAGGTAGCACTTCCTCAGTAGATGAGGCACGCATGAGCATTGTGCCCATCCTAACCAATGTTGAGGTTATTATTAAGCTCTTGAAATCTGGCCGTTTGACGAGCTCTGCGTGCAAAGCATGACTTCAAAAATCTACGGATTGAAAGTGAGGGAACGAGTTACATAAAGATAAAGTTATGCTTGTTGGAAAATAATATATTTTTTATAATACATTTTGAAGACTTAACAATTGTTTGGCGTCTGTTAAATTTTTGGTCTGAATAAACTTGATAATAAACATATAGCAAAAGTAGCCCTGTCTGCGTTGTTAGCATTTAAAGTCTTTTATTTCGTACTTCTTAAGCCTTCGTTCATGTTACTTTCCACACCCAAAATACTTTTTTCCTATTCGTCTCCGGTAGTCATTATCTTAATAACTTCATTAGTTACCACATTATCTATTTTGTGTTCATCTTTTTCTTTAGAATCCTCCTCCCCTGTAGACTTTCAATAAGATGACATGACGCAAGATGACTCTTGC